GTACTTAATCACCCAGGCCCTGAAGCAACCATGCCTGTGTCCTGGGTTTCCCCATGTCCCACGTGAAAATGCCTCCTTTTGCTTGGCCTGCAGCCCCTCTCTCTGGAGGACATCTTTGGTCTGTCACCTGTACCACCCTTTTCTGAGAAGAGCGTCCCTTCTCTGCCCATGAGCTTCCAGTGGGCACGACCAAGCCCCGTCCAACCCAGGCTGCAGGTTTGGGACAGGACAGGGTCCTTCCCTGAGATCTTCTGAGTTGGAAACAGGAGAAGAGGACAGTCCTTCTTGGGTGGAAAAGCCATGGGATGGGAGTCCAGGAGCTGCTTCTTACAGCTGTCATGAGAAGTGGATCTGCAGTAGGAGAGTGGCGTGCTCAGTGCAGAGAAGAAAGTCACGGGAGGCAGAGAGAGCATCTGGAGATTTGCCCCTGGATTCAATTGTACCTGAAGCCAGCCGCACCCCTGCCCGCTGTACAGTTCAGCGCCATGAACCAAGAAATGCCACCTTTTGCCCAAGTTGGTTCCATTCAAGTCATTGTTCCCTACCATAAAGATCGTGACAAATCCCAGGAAGAGGTCAGTCCCTGCCCTGAGTGGGGTGGGATACAGACACCGCTGTCCTGTGTGTCTCTCCATCCCTCCGCCCTGCTAGTTCGGGTTCAGCTGGAACTTAACAATGTTACTGTTCAGACAACATCAGGGTCATTTGACAGCTCGCATTGTAATATGTTATACATTCTTCTCCACGAGACTGTGAACTCCAACAGAAAGACTGGCTACTTCTTTGTCGTGTGACTTCTGCCAAGATTTCTCATTTCTAAAACTAGGATGCTCATGGTATCTATCTCTGAGAGTAGCTGGGAAAATTAGCTGAGTGAATACATACAGAGGGATTTGCTGTCCTCTTATCTGCTCTTCTTTCTCTCAGTACTCAGGTCAGTGCTTTGCACTGGCCAGGCACTAAGTGGGCACCCTGCAAATGTGTGTCCCGTGCATGGAGATGCAGAAAGACATGCCCCGCACCAGAGCGACACCCACGGACACACACACACACACACACACACACACACATAGGATAGTAGCACTCAGATCTCAGTATGCTACACAGTGACCCTCCTGGGAGCCCAGGGCATCCCCAGCCCCTGGCTTCTCTGGAGGGCAGCCTGCAGCTCTCCCAGGCTCTCAGCTGTTATCCCCGAGGCTCCACATTGCTGGGAGCACAGCTTGGAGCCTGGTTCTGCTTTACACCACGTATCAAGGACAGCAGGACCTGTGGTGTTCTAGGGGCTGAGGGAAGTATGTGTGTGTGTGCGTGCGCGCGTGCGCTGGTTAACTTGGGGGGACCAGGGGCTTGCTGGAACTCTCGCTTCCAGAACTGCTGTTCTCTGAAAGCTCCGTCTCATCACTCCCTAAGTCCCCCAGTCTCTTCCAATCTCCCTGCTTCCTCAAGTAGCCCCCCACACTAAGTCCTGCCTGGGGGCTCTTGTGGGGTCTGGCTTGGTCTTTTTCCTGGAAAGAGCAGGGCTTGTCTGTGGATCTGGGTCTCTGGACTCCTGGTTTGCCTGCTGGCCTGCCCCCTTCCCCCTTTCCCAAGACCCTCATGGCCCGTATCCTCCCCACACCCCTACGCCCCCCCCTCCCCTCAGCCTTTCAGTTGCGCTCAGCTGGGGAGTATTATTCTCTCAGGATGTTCTGGGAGAGCACGCTGTGAGCTGTGCCAACCTCCGGGGAGGGGGCGTGGCCTTGAGTGGAGTGAGGATGCTCCTTAGAGCGTCTCGTGTTGGGGACAGTGCGTTTGGCCAGGTGCGGCCTTCAGTGTGGTGTGTACTGTAACATCAGCACTGCTTGTGTTACGACTTTGTGTGGAATGTCTTAGTGTGAGAGGTAGGTGGCCAGGGGGTTGTGTTTTGGGTCACTGTGCATTGTGCTCAGGGCATTAACGCTTTGTGTGGCTACCCAAGGTCCCTGGGCCCTGAAAAGATAATTGGGTGGAAGGGCACCTCTCTTCCAGGTGCTTCCCGCGCCCTCCTTCCCCTTCCCACGGGTTCACTAGATCCCAGTGTGCCTGAGGTCTCTTACCGCAGCTGAAGCTCAGAAAACCTGGCAGAGGAGAGGAGAACCCCGGTCCGGGGTCCTGTTGAGTTTAGAGCTCTTATTTCGTAGGCCACCGCCCACACTCCTTTGCCCCAAGGACAGGTGGGAGTTCCCAAGCCCCTCGGCTGGTCCCTTCCCAGGCCCAGGTCCGCCCTCCCAACAAAGGCGGCCGACCACGTGCCCCCTCCTCCCCGCGGGCCTGGAGTGGGGATGCACGCAGCCCCCGGTTCCCGCTCCAGCCAGGGCTAGATCCCGACGCAGCGCTGTGCCCCAGGTGGGCGCCCAGCAGCCCCCAGCAGCCCCACCGCCCCCGGCTGTGCCTCGCCCACTCCCAGCCGCTGCCGCTGCAGCACCCTGGAAGAGCGCTAGGGGGAGCTCTGGCAACTGGCTTGGTGGATTGAATCAAAACCGCGCATCAAACAGCTCTTCCTCGGACTTGGGGTGGGGGGCAGGATGGGGAGGAGGGCGACACGACGTTACCCTTCCTCAGCAGCTCCAGACTCTTCCCGTGGGAGGCCGAGGAAACAGCCCTGGGGGGGGTGAAGGTGCCTTTCCTCCCTGTAACTCACGCCTCCATAGTCTCCCTCTTCCTCCATCCCCATCGCGGGCCCTTCGCGGCCCCCCGGGCTCTGGAGTGTCCCTGAGAACTTCGCCTCGCGCGACACCGGGACCCAGAGCCCAGCGGGCTCCTGGGACTGGCTTGCGTCCGCCTCTCGGAGACTGGGGTGCGGGGCCTCTCGGCGGCAGCCCCTCCTCTCGCTGCGGGAGGCGTGAAGGCTGGGGTCGGGGACGTGAGTCGTCCTGCGGGGTGGCTCGTGCAGCAAAGCTCAGGGAGCGCAGGGGCGAGAAAGAGAGCGAGAGGGCACTGAGGAGACCGCCAGGGACGGGGAGGGGGGCGGGGAGAGAGAGAGGGAGAGAGAGAGAGGCACTATCAAATAGCAAGCTGCCACTTTGCTTTTTTTCTTTCTTTCTTTTTTTTCTCTTTCTTCCCCCCCCCCCTTCAATCCTTCCTATCCCCTCTTACTTTGGAACCAACCCGCGCGCCCCCGAGCCCGAGGCGCGGCTCCAGATGTGAATTTGGTTCCAGGGGGGAGGACGCGAGCTTCCTCGGGGCCTTGGCACATTCTCCCACTCTGAGGTCATTCCGTAGGTGGTCAGCGGGGAGAGCGCGCCTGGAGCCTTCCTGCCTCCATCCACTGGGGAGGGAAGAGAGGCGGGCGGGAGGGAGGGGAGAGGGAGAAGGGAGGGGCGCGAGGAGGGAGGGAGACGCCGCCAGCACACCACCAAGTGGCACCGAGCAGTGATAACAAACTCAACTTAAAAAAAAGAAAAGGAAAAGGAAAAAACTTCCCCAAGTTGCAGCCCAAGATGTGCGGACGTGCGGGCAGAGGCGCAGGGCGGGGAGTGTGGGTGGCCCGCAAGCCCCCCGGCTGCTCTCCCCAGCCGAAGAGAGCTCAGACGTGGGGCCGACCAGGCCCTGCGCCCCTGGCAGGTCAGGAAATGTGCTGGAGGCTCGCTCGGCTTCCTGATGGAGACCCTGGGGGCGGCCGGTTCCCGTGGGGGGCAGGCGCCTCTAGGGAGGGGGGCCCGGGAAGCGCGCAGCGCCGGCTCCTTCCCCAGCAACCAGCACCACACCCCCGTTCCGCTCCCACCCCCGGCCCTGCGGTTGTGGGCAGATCCTGCCCTCCCAGGCCCAGGAGAGCTGGGGTTTGCCGGAGGGTAGGGGTCTCTCCTCACCACCCTCTATCCTCCCCTCCACCTCCAGGTTGACCTGAAAACAAGGCACCGCCATCCTCTATAATCGACTTTTTATTAAGATTATAAATTTAAACAAATCTGAACAGTTTTACCCGGTGATATACAATTCAGTATGCACAAAAATACAGGGGAATGAGGGAGAAGGGCCAAGAAAGGAAGGGTTGGCAACTTGTTTTGGAGTCCACATGGTGCTGATGATAGAGAACCAGAGGGGCTGCAGACCAACCCCACCTTTTTACAACAAAAGGCTTTAAATTAAACAAGATCTATCGAGCTGAAGACACAGGACGGGGTTGTCACAGGCTCGAACAATGCTGGTTTCATGAAATGCAACCGAAGGCTGAACCAGGACAGTGCAACTTAGAAGCACACACACAAACAGCACATCTGACCAGGAACTTAGTGAAAAGTCTCCAACGCAGTCGGCGGTCCCGGCCCCTCCCTCCCTCGGGGCCGCCGGAGATCCAGGTGAAGGAATCGACTTCCTTTTTTGTTTAGTGAGGACCGCAGTGCTGGGCATGATGGGAAATGTAGTCGGCTGTGCCCGCCCCCCACCCCTTCCCCAAACAGTGTCCGAGAGTGTCGGGGTGTCGGGCGCCACCCCCGAGTCTGGAAGACGGGTGGAGGAGGGGAGGAGAACAGAGCCAGAGGGGCGGGGAGAGGAGGGGTTCAAGACACCCGCCCCGCGAAGAAAAGAAAAAAAAAGTTGAAGTGTTTTCATTTCTGCCTTCTCATTTTGAGAACTTTGGAGGCCGCCCCCAGAGAGGAAATGTGACCCAAACGTCCCTTTCGGAGATAGAGTTTGCCTTTGTTTTTGCTCAGGATTTCACAAGACCCATTCCTCACCCCACGGAGGAACTCGGGAGAACGGAGCGCCGGGCTTCCTAGGTCTGACAACTGATTGGAATCGGAGCCCCGGGCCCCGCGCCCTCCTGCGCTGCGCCCCCAGCGCGCCCCGGCGGTCCGGGCGCCCTGCCTCGCCCCCGGCTGCCCGGCAGCTCCGCCGGGCAGCAGCCCTTCCTCACGTGGCTGGCTCCTCTCTAAACACCACTGCAATCACTACAATAAAAAGAAAAAAAAAGAGTAAGAGAAACACAAAGCATACTTAAATAGGCGCTTTTTCTCTCTGCAAAAATAAAGTCCAAGATCTTAGATTTCTTTTTCTTTTATTTTACAATTTATAAAACATCAGCCATCTCCCTCTGCTCGCCCCCAGCTCAGCCCCGAGTGGCCGGGTGCCCGTTCGTTCCCTCCTCTCGCCCCTTGGCCGAGTCTTTGTCTGGCCCCAGCCCCGCGGGGCCCCGGGTCCCCGTGCCCTCGGGGGTCCCTAGAAGGCGACAATGGCTCGAGTCCAGGCGCCGAGGCTGGCGAGCGCCTGCTTGGCGCACAGCTGCCCGTTGAGCGGCGGCGGCTGCTCAGAGGAGTCCGGCTGTCGGCTCACTAGCCCGGAGAAGCCCGAGCCAAAGATGGAGATCAAGTTTGAGATGTTGGACGCGTCCGGGGACGAGTCCGGGCAGAAGTCCTCGAAGCGGGCGCGCTTGCAGGGGGCGAACGGGACGCCCCCGGGGGGCTCGGCCCCCAGGTCGCCCGCGTCCTCGTCGTCGTTGTCCTCCTCCTCCTGGCCTGGGTAATACTTGCGCTTGCAGCCGGCGGCGGACGCCAGGCCGGGTCCCGGGGCGCCCTGGCCACAGCAGGGGCAGTGGGCGGAGGCGCAGCAGTCCTGGTGCAAGTAGCCGTTCTCCACCGTGGTCACCACGTGAGTGTCCAGGTCCAGCACGGTGGTCTGGCTGCTGCAGTGCACGCCGAAGTCCGAGGGGGCCGGGTACGCGCCCCGGTAGAAGCCGGGGGAGGAGGCGGGGGCCGGGGAGGCGGGCGGGGAGGCGGCGGTAGTCGCCTGAGGGGCGGCCCCTGGGGGCGCGGAGGGCGCGGAACAGGCGGCCGAGGCGCGAGGGTCCCGCTGGCAGAGGGCGGCGGGCGCGGGCGGCGGCAGCGGCGCAGGACCCGGCTGCAGCGGCTCCAAGGGCTGCCCGCGGTGGGGCGCGCCGTGCGGCGGCTGGAGCGCGGCGCACCCGGGCAGCTCCGAGAGCGCCCCCGCGCCGCCCGCGGGCGCCCCGGCCGCCGCCGCCGCGCAGCCCCTGGGCGCAGGGTGCTGGTGCTGGTGCAGCTGCTGCTGGAGGTGCAGCTGGTGGAGCTGGTGGAGCTGGTGCAGCTGGTGCCGGGCGACAGGTTCGCGCGCCTCCGCGTCCCCGCCGCCGCCAAGTTGGAGCGGGCCGAAGTCGGCCGCGCTGGCCGGCATGCCCGGCGCCGCGTACGCGAGGTGCTGGTGCTGGTGGTGGGGCGGCTGCTGCTGTTGCTGCTGCTGCTGGCGCCGGTAGAGCTCGGCGTAGCGCTCGCTCAGGTAGAGCTGGCGCGCGTTGCGGAGCACGTAGGACACCAGGAGGTTCTTGTGCAGCTTGATGCCGCCGCGCTGGGTCCGGGAGCTGTGGATCTTGCGCAGGGAGATGCTGATCAGGCTCTGGGCGTCCAGGGCGCACTCCATGCTCCCGCGGAGACGGCTGCGGCGGAGCAGCCGCGACCGCTGCTGCTGCTAATGCTGCTGCTGTTTCGGCCTCCAGCCGGCCTCCGGGACGCGCTGGTCAGGGGAAACGGAGTCCGGGTCAGCGGGTCGGCTGCGCTCCGAGAGGAGCCGCCACCATGCGCTGCGCGCCACCCACGGGCTCGTGCTCCCCAGACGGCGCCAAAGCAATGAGCCTCGGCTGGCCCCGGCCCCAGCTATTTAGCCGGGCGTCCGGGCCCCGCCCCACACCGGATGAGCCAATAAGAGTGCCCCAAACCTCCCGAGTGACAGACGCTACCCGCCCCGGGGCCACTAGACTGGCCAATCAGACCAAGGCGGTTCCTTTGTGCTATTCAAATACCGAACGGACCCCGGGCCTCCAACGCCGCCGCTGCCTCGAATGTTCTCCTGTGGCCGCGGCGCCGCGCGGGACTCGGAGCCACCGAGGCCGCTGTCTGCGACATGGGTAGCCTCGCAGCCGCCACGTTGGAGCCCGCGGCCGCCCTCGGCCTAGTTCCTGGGAGCCGGGGGTCGGCTCACCTGCGTGCTGCTGCTACGGCTCCTCCCCCTTCCGCACGGCTGGGCCTCACCTGCGGCAGGTGAGCGCGGCTCCCATTCCCGGCCACGCGGCACCTCCTTTCATACCTACCGCCCCCGGGTGACCCGCGGGACGCAAGGTTTTTGCAAGAGACTAGTGGGGCCGCCGGCTTGACCTTTGGGGACTCCTCAGGAGAAAGAGATTTCGAGGTACCCTCAGCCACCGAGTATGTTGGGCCTGACTCCTTGACTTTTGGGCTGAGGAGATTCAGAGAACACTCGGGGAAGGGCCGGCCTCCCCATTTGTCTGACGGGAGAAACCAAAACATGGTGAATTTTGGTCTCCTCTGATAGAGGAGGCTTGGAGGCGTGCCCCTCGCAAACCGCCGAGGTCTAAAGGCGTTCCGAGAGCTGACATCCAGTGTCCTAATCACCGGTTCTGTAACCTTTCCTTGCCTTCCTAACTAATAATAATGACACTAGGGACTGTTATTAAGTGCCTAGGATGGGGCCGGCCCTGCCAGAAGCGCCCTGACTCCCTCCCTGTGACTGCAGGCAGAGCGGGGACCTGAGTCTCTGAGGAGTGGGGTGACTCGTGGGAATCCCACAGCTCCTAAGGGGCAGGGCTCGGATTGGTACCAGGACTGTGAGCTCCAGACGGGAGGCGAATACCAAGGGCCGAGGCACTCGCCCTCTTAACTTTTGTTGACGCTTTTGTTTTCCTTCTTGTCCTGAACCATTTCACGGGCCACCTCCTCCCAGCTGGGGCCTGATATGGTGGGGACGATCTCCAGGGCGCTCTCCTCCTGGACTGGGAAGCCTGAAAGGGGGTGACTGCTGCTCAGAGGGGGGTTGGGGTCCAAGGCGCCTGGGTGGGAGGGTGTCTTTGAAGTGGTTTGCCTGAGGGTTGGCCCCTGAAGGAGGAAGAGGCTTCACAGTGAGTATGAGGGCTAGGTGGGCCTTGGGGGCGGTTGGGGGCGGGGCTGGGGTGGGACGAGGTCCCAGGAGCAAACTTCCTGCTCTTTCCCCCTCTCCTTGGGATTTCTTCTGAGTTTCCTCTTTCGTTGGGCCTGTTGTCCTCAGCACCTACTTCATCCCTTGGCAGGAGTAAAGAGACCCAGCCAGCCCATTCTGTACTTTCTGGGTCTCCCCTCAGACTTAAGAATTCTAGAGGTTTGTTTCCTCAAACAATTTTTCAGCATCTACTCAGTGCCAGGCATCAAGGGTAAAAACAGATTTAGGGAGCACGTACCCCACTTTTCAGATGAAACTTGGGACACTGACAGTGGAAGGGACTTGCCTGAGGTCCCACAGCTCCAGATCCAGTGCTCTGGCCTTTCCATGCCATCTGTGAACAATCTCAAACTCGTCTGAGCCACTGTGATCAGAAGCACCTCTTCTGCCCCCACCCAGAGAAGCCAGGATTGACATTTTAGAGGAACTGTGAGAAAGGGCATCTTCTATACTATTGGTGATCTGGTGATAGGAACACACAGGAGTGGAACTTGTTTATGTGACAGTACCTGTAAGAATAAAAATATACTGCTCCTTACTTCCCCAGGGCCTGTCTTGACACACAAAGCCTTCGTTCGTTTATTTATTTGTTTTTCTTAAAGTAAATTTATTTATTTTATTTATTTTTGGCCGCGTTGGGTCTTCGTTGCGGTGCGTGGGCTTCTCATTGCGGTGGCTTCTCTTGTTGCGGAGCACGGGCTCTAGGCACGTGGGCTTCAGTAGTTGTGGCACGTGGGCTCAGTAGTTGTGGCTCGCGGGCTCTAGAGTGCAGGTTCAGTAGTTGTGGCGCACGGGCTTATTTGCTCCGCGGCATGTGGGATCTTCCCGGACCAGGGATTGAAACTGTGTTCCCTGTATTGGCAGGTGGATTCTTAACCACTGCGCCACCAGGGAAGCCCCCATTCGTTTATCTTTGAAGTTCACCTTTGAGATATCATTAGCATGTGGAGGGAAGCGGGAGGTCCTATCTGGTTCTACCGTCACGTCTGGGACCCATGGCGTCTGGCACATAGCATGATTCCAAGAATGTAATTTTTTTTTAACGTCTTTATTGGAGTATAATTGCTTTACAATGGTGTGTTAGTTTCTGCTTTATAACCAAGTGAATCAGCTATACATATACATATATCCCCATATCTCCTCCCTCTTGCATCTCCCTCCCACCCTCCCTAATCCCACCCCTCTAGGTGGTCACAAAGCGCTGAGCTGATCTCCCTGTGCTATGCGGCTGCTTCCCACTAGCTATCTATTTTACATTTGGTAGTGTATATATGTCCATGCCACTCTCTCACTTTGTCCCAGCTTACCCTTCCCCCTCTCTCACTTTGTCCCAGCTTACCTTTCCCCCTCCCCATGTCCTCAAGTCCATTCTGTACATCTGCATCTTTATTCCTGTCCTGCCCCTAGGTTCTTCAGAACCTTTTTTTAGATTCCATATATATGTGTTAGCACACGGTATTTGTTTTTCTCTTTCTGACTTACTTTACTCTGTATGGCAGACTCTAGGTCCATCCACCTCACTACAAATAACTCAATTTCATTTCTTTTATTGGCTGAGTAATATTCCATTGTATATATGTGCCACATCTCAAGAATGTGTTATTAATGCTGATTTTGGACCTTCATTCTGTGCTTGCTGAGAATTTGTTGGGGGAAACTAAGACTTTGAGTATATGTATCTTGCTCAAGGTCACTCAGCCAAGAAGAGGTTGAGGCAGGATTTGAACCCAGGTCTGTTTCCAGGATTGGAACTCGCTTTAGGTTCTTTGAAATCAGCTGCTTGCTTCTGCCTTGGGTGGATCTGAGTCCAGTTCTCAGGGCTCAGCTCACGGCGAACGTAACTTTGACTTCATCAACACCCCACCACTATCCTGACAACTGCTGTGAGACCAGGGCCTGCAGGATCCGTGAAGGAGCAAATCTCTCTCCAAGCTCAGCTCATCATCGACAGCCATTCTCACAGCTGCACCCCCTAACCCTGGGGGTCCAGATGGGACACCAGGTAGGGATGGAAATGGATTCCCTAGCTACAGGCTGGGGGCAGGGGAGCCAGCACCCCCCCCCCCCACTTAGCCTCTGCCCCAAGGTGAGTTTGAGCTCTGCTAAGGCTCTTCCACTCCCTGGGGCCAGCTGAGAAGTGGTCAGCCCCGTCTGCGTGGCCCCATTCTTTGGGCCCTCCTGTCTGGGGCCCACATTCACTTGGTCTCCCCTCCTTCTCAAGAATCAAGAAGTGGCTAGTGGGGAGGGCTGAGCAGTTGTCCAGATTAATAAAACCCTTGATCTTTTTTGGGGTGGCCTGGACGGGGGAGTTGCTGCAGCTGTCGTAAGAAAACACTTGCTGCAGGAGGCAGTGGAACAGCTGAGCTCTTTGGTGCCCCTGGGAGTAGCGAAGACTGGGGGGCACACAGTAGGAATTCACAAACGTTTATAGAATGGGTGGGTCACACATAAGGCTTCTGTTCGGATGTTCAACGGCTCAGAGCAGGGTACTACAGACCGTCCAGGGCATTGGGCGTATACGTGTGTGTATGAGTATCTGCGTCCACACGTGTGCAGGGGGGCAGGTTTGAGTGAGACCAGGCTTCTTGGAATGAAGGGCTGGCCTTATTGGTCTGGGGCACCTGAGAAAGGTTGGGGCGCTCACCTTTTCCCCCCGGAGCTGGGAGATTACATCTGGCCCTGAGTCACCGCTCCCTGGAGGAAGTTAATTAATGCCTAAATATTTACCGAGGGTCTGCTGGGACAGTGTGGAGCAGGGCACAGAACCTATCGGGACCTGGGCTCCCATCAAACCCCAGGTGGTGTCAGCCCCACAGTGGAGCCCTGAACACTTTGAAATGCCACATATGCCTGTGGGCACCTTTTGGTCGCCCAGTTCAGAAGTGGGAGACATGCCAGGAAGGACCCTGGTCAGCTTTGGGACTTGCCTGGTGGGTTCCCAGGGATTGGTTTGGCGAAGAGGCTGCAGAGACAAAAGGTTAATTGAGGGTTTTGTATTGGGTGGCGGGGGAAGGGGGAGAGAGATTTGGAATTGACATATTCATTCCTTTGTTCAGTGGCCCAAGAGGTATTTCCAGAACACTACTCTGGAATTCCTGCAAATGGGTCGGGGGAACAAGACGTGATCCTGCCCTCAGGAGGCCACAATTCAGAGGAAAGCAGACAAGATAAACAGACCAGATGACACAGAGCGATAAGTCTGTGATAGGAAGGTCGGGGCTGGAGGAGGGCAGGGGAGAGACCCCAAAGCTGGCCTGGAAAAGGCTTCCTGCAGGAAGCTGAGACTGGGAGGCCCAGGAGGGGGAGGAGCCTTTCACCAGAGAGAACAGCTTGAGGCCCAGGGCCTGGTATGCAGTAGGCACTCAATAAACATTTGTGAAATAAATCAGTCAATAAATGTAAGTGTGCAGAAGACACTTAGAATTGGAAGGGTCCTAGGCATTGGGCTGCCCCCATCCCTAATTTCAGATGGGTAAACTGAGGTCCAGAGAGGAGGAAGGATGTGCTGAGGTGTCGCCCCAAGCTGGGACTGGAACCCCGACGTCCCACCTCCCAGTCCAGCCTCTGGCTGCCCCAGCTTGCTGTCTCCATGGCTTGGAGTGGGCGTTGCTCCGTGGGGACTGAGATTTGGGACTGTTGACAGTGGCAGAGAAGGCATGGGGCACAGGTGACCACAGGGGTCACTGCTGAGCCCTCTCTGAGGCTGTGGAGCCAGTGGTGTTTGGACGAGAGAGCCCCCTGCTGTACCCCAAGAAGGCTGTTCTGTGGCTGATGGGCACTGGGAAGCTTGGCTGGGGTCCTGGAGCCGGGGAAACCCTCCTTCTGTCCTGAAGAACCGTCATCCTGTCACTGTCCCAGGCCCAGGTTAATGACAGGTCTGTGTTTGCCCAGCATGGTCCTGGGCAACAGGCTTAGTGCCCAGGAAGACATCATGGCTCCTGGCTTCAAGGTCCTCAAATGTAATGTGGAAGGTTGACAGCAGCTTGGCTTTTTGGAGCTCTTGCTCTGTGCCAGCCACCGGGCCAAGCGCGTCGCATGCTGGTCTCCTTGAAGCCACACACCAACCTCGGGCAGGTTTGGTTATCATCTCCATTTTATGGATGAAGCAACTGAGGCACAGAGAGCTTGGGTGATTTGCCTGGGGTCACAGAGCAAGGAAGGAGAAGTGACCGCAATCCCAGGACTCTGGGGAAGTGGGGGCACCGGGAGCAGCAGGGGAGGACTGGAGACCCCCGCTGCTACTTTTGGATTCATTGGCCTTTTGAATGATTTCTGTACTTATGGATGGAATGTGCATACAGGGCGGATGTGATCTCTCACCTGGGGTCTCTGCCCAAGCACCTGATAGCAGCTGGGTGCCCATTTGTTTGTTCACTCACCCATTCATTCATTTATTCATTCACTCACTCAATAACCATGGACTAAATACTGGCCAATGAGCAGGCGCTGTGCTGAGAACACCAGGCAGCTCTCCCTGCCGGAGCAGGGCTGAGGATCCTTTTAATCTCCTAGGCCAACCCTGATTGATTGGTAGTGTCTGCCCGGAACCCTGGGTTGAAAGGGATTTGGTGTGTGCTCCAGTTGATTAGTGATGTCTGCCAAGGGCTCAGCTGGGAGCCTTTACGGCAAACCTGCTGGGTAGCTGCCCCTGGGATGAGGATGGAGTGTCTGTTCAGCGCTTTGGACATCTGGGCTGGTTCAGCAGACAGAGTGGGTCTGGAGGTCAGGAGAAACGGGTTCTAGCCCCACATTGGCCTATTATCCTCAGGTAATGCGCATCGCCTCTCTTGGGCCTCAGTTTGCTCATTTGTCACCTTCCTCCAGGAGGCACTGTGAGCATCAAATGGCCGGAAAGTGCTTTGAAGAGTTGAGGGGATTAGTACTGAGACGGGAAACTCCCACCCCCCCACCCTTCTTTTCCTTTCTCAAAATCCTGCCAGAAGCAGAGCATGCTGGGCAGGCCAGAGTTAATCCTGGGTCGGCCGTGTGTGTGTGTGTGTGTGTGTGTGTGTGTGTGTGTGTGTATGGGTGGCTGGGGGGTGGCTCAGAAGTTCCTGGCTCAGAGTTGTTTTTATAACTCACTTAGTACAGACCTTTGTCCCCTCACCGGCCTCAGCTGGGAGTTGCTAAGGAGTGAGAAGCTCCTTGGATCTTAGGAACTGAATCTGAGATTTTTTTTTTTTTTTTTTTTCATTTGAGTAGTGGGAGCTGGTGTATGTGCCACCTGCCACCCCCACCTCCCTACTCAGGGAATAAAACTATAGACCATTGCGCCAGGCACAGAACTATGTTTAATATGGATTTTTTTCATTAATCCTCAAAACAATCTAATGAGGTGGGTAGCACAATAATCCCCATTTCACAGTTGAGGAAACTGAGGCCCAGAGAACCGAAGTTCTGGGGCCACACATCTCCTGGCTGCTGCTGGTCCGTGGGTACCAGACTCTGATCCGAGCTAGAGAAAGACTGTCTCATCCATTCTTGACCAGCTGTACCTCGTCCTTGATCTTTTGTCCATTCATCCATGTACTCATTTGTCCACTTCATCCTTTTGTCCCTTCACAAATATCAAGTGCTTACTGTGTGCCAGGCTCTGCATCAGCCTCTCTCTCAAGGGCCTTACGTAGATTCCAGACCAGACAGGAAACACAAGGAATAAGCAAGCAGATAAATGAACAAGATTGCAATGAGGGTGATAACGAAGTAAACAGGGCTTTGTGATGGAGACTTGTGGCAGGGGGGTGACCAGCCTCGAAGGCACACTGGTCACAGGGTCCCAAGCTCCCAACTCTCCCCTGGCCCCCTCCCCCACCCCCGGCCTTCCCCAGGCCCAAGTCCCTGCTTTGCTGGCCCGAACTCTCCAGCAATCTGTTCTGAGCTCGGGCTGCACTCCCGGCCCTCCTACTCCCCACAACTGGTGAATTTTTAATGCTGCTTACACGGAACAAAGCAGAGTTTTTGTTTTTGTTTTGAGAGCATTTCTCAAAAAAAACCCCATTTCTCAAGGGTGCATTATGCGCGCATGCGTGTGTATGTGTGCGTGCACATGTGTGCGTGTGTGTGTGTGTGTGTGTAGAGTGAGAAAGAGACAGCCCAGTGAGTATCGATCATCTGTCCTCAATTCATCTCCTGAGTTCCTTTTTATTTAAAAATTGTTTAAAACGTGGGGCTAAGTAGGATCTCAGTTCGGGACTTTGTGCTGGTGAAAGGGCACCTGGGGGGGCCCTCGACATCCATGTCCTAAGCAAACCCACCTAGTTCCTGGGGGACCCAGGCCCCATCATTACGTTTGTCATACAGATGAGGAAACCGAGGTGCAGAAACAAGAAGTATCTGTGTGGGTCCTCCCGCTAATGAGTGGTGGAGAGGGAGGCAGGAGTCACATGGCTCCACACTGCCTGCCCCATCACACACTCACACACACACACTCACTCACATGTGCACGCGCGCACACACACACACACACACACACACACACACACACACACACTCAGGGCTAAGTGAGTTACCTAGTCACAGCTCTGGCCTCAGGAAGGGTAGAAATGAGGGAAGGAGCCCAGCCTGTGACCTCAAAGGGGCTGGGATTAATCTGGCCGAGAGGGAGGAGGGGGAGAGAGACTTACAGGTTGGAGAGTGAACCCGTGTGGTTTGTGCTGGGGGGTCAAAACCTTTCCCCAGAACTGACCCTAGGATGTAGCAAAGTGGGTCTCTGCCTCGTGTCCTTGGTGGTGGCTCCCAGTGCCCTCCCCTTAGCCTATTTATTGAGCACTTACTGTGTACTAGCCACCAAGTTCTTGACATGAATCATCTTGTTGCAGCCTCATGGTAGAATCTATGACTGAAGTACTTTTATTATCGTGCCCACTTTACAGAGGAGGGTGCTGAGGCTCAGAGAGGTGAACTGACTGGAATCTAGACTGGCTTGCCTCCACACGTGGCTCTTTTAACCCTGACACCTGGGGAAGCAGATGGCAGGAAGAAGAACGTGGCTCCGGGACTCTGAGAGCTGAGGCTGGTGAATATCCGTGTGAACTTGTGAACCTTTGATGTTGTTCTGGTTCATCTTTTCAGCCTGATTTCGCTGGTTCATAGTGCTCAGGGTTGGGAGGTGGTTTGCCCCATCACTGATCCTCTAGGGACAGCAATGGCCCCAGCCTAGAGCCTCATCTCCCCTTTGTGCTGCCTCTTCGTAGCAGGGTCTTTCCTCAGTGCCTGGTTTTCCTCCTTGGCAGTGAGGAGATCTTTAGTCCCATTCATTTCTCATTCATTAGAAAATGGGAATGATTTTCATAAAGGTCTGGGTGAGCTGGGCTATTGTCTGCTGCAGTAACAAATAATTCCTGAAATCTTAGGGACTTGACCCAATAAAAGTTTCTTTCTATCTCAGTCCCATGGATCAGACAGCTTTCCTCCAGCCTCCTCCCATTGTCAGTTCCACCATACCATATTTTTTTTGCTTTCAGCCTTGCACACAGGGGAGGCGGGAGCCAGTATGTGCATGATGCTGCAGCATGTCTTATGGTGAAGTCTAAATTTGCATTCTTCCCTCCCATTGGCCAGAATGGAGTCACATGGCACCACCTACCTGCAAGGGAGGCTGGAAAGTGTAGTTCTCAGTTGCACACAGGAGGCAGATGGCCGGGTTCAGTGAATACACAGCTTTGTCACTGACATGAAGGCCTTGAAGAAAGCGAAAGCGGAGCTTCACCAATTTGTGGACCACAAAAATAAACTAAAAAGCTCTTATCTGGGGACAGGGTGGGGAGGGCTTCTTATCACATGGCTACCAAGAAAAGTTTATTTTTTTAAACATGTCTGTCTGTCTTCCCTCCTAGACTGTAAACTCCCTGTGGGCAGAGTCCACAAGCAACTCTCTGTGCTTGATACCTTATTTAGTCCCTAGCCAATAACAGATGCCCAATTTCTCTCTGTTCAATGAACAAACATTATCTGTGCGAAAGGATACTGGTGAACAACTGTTTTACCTTTCCATGTATCAGATATGGACAAAAATATTTTTTAACATCAGTCTAGAATGGAAGTCCCTTTTGAAAAGAAAAAAAAAAGTTTTAACCAGTCTTGTCCTTTCTTCGTGGTGAACACAGTTTTTTACCAACAAGTGTCATTCATTGCTGATTTGTTCTTTGATTCTTTGATGACTGGAGGGAGAGACTGATTCACTCTTTCAACAGATATTTGTGGAGTGTCTGCTATGTGCCAAACCCTTTCAGGATATTAGGGAATCGGAAAGGACAGTCATTCTCCAGTGGATGCAATATACTCGGAGATGAGGCTATTCCAAGGTAATGAAATCAGACACCATTTAATTCTTTGGAACCATGGCTTGATTTCTCACCTGTAGTACCAAGCACTGAATTTAATCTATTCTAAGGCACCTACTCCCCGCCCTGCCCTTCCCCCCCACCCCCATCTAATACCTCTGAAATTGTGTTGTGTCTTAGCATTGATAACATCTTAGATCTGACAACCTCTGGGTATTTTACTCATTGGACTAATTAACATTTATAAGGCGCATCATGCAACACACTGAATCAGCCCACATTTAGTGACTATGTTGTTAAAGGCAGCCCATTTGGTATTTTCAGAGTCACGGAGAAGGGATGGAACCATCATTTACTGAGAACTGAGTGCCTATGAGGCACAGCGCTCGCTGGTTCACAGCACAGGACTTTCAAACACCCCGTCAGGCAGTTTGTTGTATCATCCCCAATTCACAGAAGAAGAGACCAAAGCTTTTCTAGAAACCCTCACTGGAAGCGCTGGGGTTCCAACCTGGTGCTGTTCTATCCCATGTTCTGAATCATCCCTCCACCACGCTGTGCAGACACCCACCTGAGATGTAGTCATCAGACCCATTTCCCAGATGAGGGTACTGAGGTGTACAGAGCTCACCTGATTTGCTTAAATTTACAGAGTCGGAAAGTGGCAGAGATGGGGTTTGAACTCAAAGTCTTTCCTATTCCAGAACCCAAACGCTTCACAACTCTACTCTCCTGCCTTTGGCTGCTTCTTTCTTCCTTTGAAAAGGAGGCTGGACTGACTGGGGAATCATCCTGAGACCGGACCTTGAAGCGAGTCTGTTTGAGCCCCTCCGTCTCCAGGGGTCTGCATGAGGCTGCTCACCAGGCTAATCTTGGCCCAGAGGGACTCGAGGTACCGACGAAGATGAAAAGGCAGCTGGTAAATCAGTGATGGCAGCCAGCCTTGCTTACAGCTCCGGAGGGGCCTGGATAAGGGGAGGTGATCCCTGTAGTGAACCTTTTAGTGGGACTTGAGCAGTTTTGGAAATTTGATGGATAACAAGTGTATAACACTGATAGTGGGCTTTGCGGTGAGGTTCCTGACACAGGTTCCAATTCTTCTCCATCCAGGAACAGACCTGGGGTTTGAATGGCACTGGCTCCACCCCAGGCTCCAGGACTGGCCACCCCATCCCTCTACTGGGCAGCAGGGGGACATAACCCGAGTCAAAGCCAACCAGTGGAGGGTTCGGGTACTGTTAGGTTAGAGCAAAGCTCAGGACTTTTGTTGCTATGAGGTGGGAATTTCCGTCAACCGCATTTTACAGACAGGAAAGATGAAGCTAAGAAAGTAGGATAGATTGGATTATTGTTCAGCAACTCTTCAGTCCCCTTCTTGAGGCAGAATAGATTTTCCTGTCCCACTGACTTTGTCATTGGCCACGTGACTTACTTTGGCCAACAGACTGTTAGTGGAAGAGACAGGATGCCTCTTGAGAGGAAGCCTTAGGAGACATCACACGCTCCTGCCCTATGTCTTGCCTATTTGTGTTCTGTCACAACAGAATATATCCCATTTGGATTCTGATACCAAAATAATGTGAAGACACACGGGGCACACTTGAGCCCAAGTCACAGCCTAGAGTCAAGTTCAACTGACCTACGGCCTGAAACAGAACTACCTAGTTGAGTCCAGCCTAGATCAACCAGTTGCAGTCAACCTACAGACCAATGAGAATAAATGTGTAGGAGGTCTCTGAGGGCTTGAGGTTGTTTGTTAAACAGCATCATTATGGCAAAAGCTGACTATTCCATAAGTGTTAAGTGATTCTGTGAAGGTCACACAGCTAATGAACGGAAGAGCCAGAGTCTAGAATTTTGGCCTCCCTATTCACTGCTTAACTGCAGTTTTCAGGTAGAGGAACCAGTAATGAGAACAGAACTGGGACTGAGGGTTCTCTGTAGGCATTACGAACTTCCTCTAGCTTGCTTTCTTTATCTGTCTACTGGAAATAGCAAACCCAGTGTATATGTACGCATCTCTGCTACTCCTGTGATTTCATCACCATACATCTCAAGTTTGGAGATGGTGAGTTTTGGGAAAGAAAACTGTATTAGCAATCTTTCTTTTGTATGAACTTTAAGGAACCTTGGCAAGACAACTAGACTGATGTTTCTCCCCTTACTGAGGGCCGTTTGATGGGTAAGCCAACTTTCTGTTAAAAGAGTCTCTTTCTTAGGGACTTAATATCCTTTAGGTATATTTATGGATATGAATTTTCCTTTGAGTATTGCTTTGGCTGCATCCTATAAGTTTTAGTATTCAACGCTCTCATTTTATTTAATGTCCAAATAGTATGAAACATCTAAGTAGGCTGTAATTTCCTTTTGAATTCCCTCTTTATCTCAAGAGTTATTTGGAAAAGAGTTTTCAAATTTCTACCAAGTTAGATTAAAAGAACCCTCTCTAGCTATTAATTTAATTTTTTTATTTCACTGTGTTGAGAATGTGTTTTACTTTGGAGTTTGTTGAAATTGTCTTTGTGCCTGAATACCATGTTTATCATTTAAATGTTCTGTGGGATTATTATTTTCAAGAGTGCAAGTTTTCGACAGCTCCAAGTACCTGCAAATACTTGCACTCCAGGTAAAAGTAATCAAACACCTCACCCTACTGCCGCTCCTTGGTATCATACACAAGTGACTGAAAATTAGGGCACATTTGTTTTAAGAGAAAACTCCCCAAGGTCCAGCCCAGCTAGGGGGTCTGTTCTGTTGGTGACTTTGGGCTCCATCTCTTCCTCTGAAGAGATGGGTTTTGTTGGTTGGCTCCTGCAGTGTTTGTCATAACAAACATGAATGAATCCTGCAAAGAGGGGGTCCAAGTGGAAGAAGCAGTTAATTAATATTTGACTCCTGCTGGGCATGTGTGGGGGTGGGTAGAAGAGGCTGATTTTTGGTTTTCTAGTTTAATCACTTTTCTGCTTTCCCTTCTGCTAGTTACTGCATTAGGCTCTCCTCTTTGTTGATAAAATTTGCATTTTAAAAATGATCTGGGAGGTACTGAATAACTATTTGGTCACAGTGAATTTTTCACAAATTAATAATGCTTCTTGCACAGATTCCGGGCCATTTCCTGGGCTCTGGTGGAGGTCTGGGCCATTGCTTCATTGCTGTGGCTGGTTACTAGCTGAGTGTGTGGAATACCAGTCACCATTATTTACTCGCAGGGCTCTTCCCCCTTGCTAAACGCCCCTGTGCACCATCTTACCATCTCCAGAGCTATGCTATGGGGGTGGGACATATACTCCTCCATTTTCCAGATAAGGAAACTGAGACTTGAGCAGGTTAAGTCAGTGGTTCTCAAACCTGGCTGTGCCTCAGAACCACCGGAGGGCCTGTTAATTATGCAGAAGCTTGGGAGGGAGAGTGTCATCACACTGACTCTTACGTGAGTCTAACCACCCCAGACTCCCCTCCGGTCTCAGCTGCCAGCCAGCACTGCCTGCCTCCCAGGGGCAGCTGGGGATTCTCTGGTGGGGGTGGGGGATGCGATGGGTTCCAGAGGTGAGAGAGGTAGGAAGAGGTGAGAGCTCTTCGGGAGGAAGCCGCCTTGTATGCCAGGCTGGGACTGGGCGAAAATTCCCGCCCTCACTCCCTGCTCACCCCAAGACGTTCTGGGACCCAGCTGGACCTCATCCAACCTCTCTCCGTCCCCTGAGTCCCAGCCTGTGCTAAGTCCTGAGGAAGACTCTGAGGAGCATGTCGTTTGATGGGGGAGACAGTCATGGGTGGGCTGCCTTCACAGTCAGCCCTCCCCCAAACTCAGAGAACACAGTGGAGCAAGTGTCCAGCCCTCCTGTGGTTCTGCAGGCCTGGAATACAACCCCTTCCTTGCTCCCACCCCTTCAAAATGTCCCTTTCTAACGTCACTTCCTCCAGGAAGCCTTCCTTGATGTCCCCATCAGATCTATTCACTTCTCTTTGTCCCCGTGCCTCTGAGCATCTCTGCTTACCAAACATCCCACGGGTTGGGTTCACACTGATGTCTGTCTCTCCTTCTATCCTTCTCCTACCCTCGATGGCCAGCTCCTCCTGGGAGGAGGCACCTGCTTTGGAGGCAGAAAGACCTGGGGTCCGGTCCTGGGACTACCTGTTGAACTTTTCCCTGGGACCTTGGGAAAAATGATGTCACCTCTTATAGGTTCCATCCCTCCGTCCCCATAACTGGGGATTACAGTTATGTCTGGCCTCATCCCTTCGGCTCCCAAGCCCTGGCTCTGCCACATGCTCACCCTGTAAAGTAGACCCTGCTATTTAACCCTTGAACCTCAGTTTCCTCATCTGTTAAATAGGGATAATAAGAGCACCCAGTTCGTGGGATGGAGTGAAGATTCAGAGAGATGACACATAGCTGGTGGTGTCTGGCACAGGAAGGCCAGCCCTTCCCAGATAATAACCAAACCCAGCAGCTTCTTCCTTTGTCGTCCCCTCTGTGGAATTTGGCTTGAAGGTGAGAGGAGCCCCCTTCCTCCCTCACCAGAAAGTAAATAAGGAAGAATCACAGAGGCCACTGCCTGTGAATCTGACTGCTCCCTTTGCGTACCCATCAAAGTCCACACACGATTTTTTCAGATAGGAAAACTGAGGCCCAGACTGGGGAAGGAACTTGCTCAGGGTCACACAGCGTGGCCCAGGGAGGGCTGGTCAGGAATGCAGGTCTCCTAACTGACTAGATTGTCCACCACTCTTCCTTTTTGGGTTGAGTTTGCAGCTCAGGTCCTACAGTCTCAGGGCTGGTCTGCCCCCTCCATCCATTCACTCCTCATTCACTCACGTTTATTAAGCAGCTGCTCTGTGCTGGCCCTTCTGCTGAGCACCGTGAGGGTCTCCGAGGTGGCCTGCCGATGAGGCAGGATTTACAGTCAGCTGCAAGTCACAGGAACCCGACCAAGATGGCTTAAACACAGAACCCAGACAGTCCTGGGGGAGGCAGTCAGAGCTGGGCAGCCTCTCGGGATGTCCTTCTGGCTTCCTGCTCCACTATCCCTAGCATGTGGCTTTCGTCCTTATGGCACAAAATGGCTGCTTCACCTCCAGGTGTCACGACAGCATTCCAGGCAGGAAAGTGAGGGTGAAGATCGGGGAAAGGTGAAGGGCAAAGGATAAAAGGCTCCTGCCAGGTGAATTCCTCTTTTTATCAGAAAAACAACCGATTTCCTGGGTGTTCCCAGCAGGAGACTCCTAACTCCATTTCATTGGCCAGAATTGGGTCAAGCAGCCCAGCTAGCTGCAAGGGAGTCTGGGAGGTGAATATTTTATCTGAGCATATTTACTCACTTCAGACCAAGGTTCTGTTAGGAGGGGAGATGGAGCTGAAATGGACACCCAGCTGGCCAGTAGTATTCTTACCCACCCGGCAGGGTCTCTGCCCTCAAGGAGTCCATGTTTGGGGGCCACGTAGATTTGGACCTTTTCACTGTAGTTGGAAGTAGCAAGCAGCTGGCGTGTGCTCAGGGGAGACCCTCAGTTCTCTTTTACCGTCCTCGGAGGCAGTGTCCTCTGCCCAGCGCAGTGCCTGGCGCACAGCAGGGGCTCAGTCAATATCTGTCGGGGAAACGGGAGGAGGTTCTAGAAAGCAGTACTTCCGGGGCTTTTACCATTAGCCAGTTTAACTTCCCCAGTGGTTTCGGTGATGTTTTCCGGGCTTTTAGTTTGGACCTTCACTAAATACCTCCTCCAGAGATGAGACGGTGTGGGGTGTGGAGGCGGGGGTGGCTGAGACCAGGCCCTCCCTCGGGGAGAGGGCCTACTTCTGTGGTAGGCTTCAGTGATGCTCAGGCCTTAGTTCCCTCCATGGAGACCTGTGCCCTACCTCTGCCACGCCCTGGAACCAGGGAGGGAGGAAGCTGCCGCCTTCACTGAGAACAACGCCGACCCCCAAGTGCCAGGTGCTTCTCACGCATCTTCCACAGATGGCTCACCACCACCCCCCGAGAGAGGACGTGCCCATCTGGCCCTGCTCTACGGAGGGGGAAACAGAGTCTCAGCCACTTGCCCGAGGCCTCCAAGCTTGTAGGTGCCGATCTGGGATTTGAACCCAGGTTGTCCAGTCCCAAAGCAGCCACCGTCTGTACCGACGGCGGCCCACGCCACCTCTTCTAGATTAGGAGGCGCTGGTCCTCTGCTCGCTGCGGATGGGCTGTGGCTGGGAGTGGGGGTGGGAGGCGGGAAACTCCCCAGCGGTGGGAAGGCAGATGTGGGGCAGGAGGGGAGGCAGGAAGAGGTGCCAGGGTGCTGGGGGCGATGCTCCAGCAGCTGCTCCCCCGTGTGTGGGGTCGTCGGACCCTGGGCGGGGGACAGAAGCCTGGTGGCATCGCCCTGAGCCTGGCACCCCTCCGCTCTCCTGGTTCTCGGAGTTGACACTCGCCAGAGGCAGAGTTTCTCTCCTTCCTTCTTCCTTTTTTCTGAGACACACTGATCTTGGCTGTGGCGCTACATTCGCTCTATGGGAAAAACGTGTTTTCTTCGGTAAACTCTGGCGCTATGATTCAGAAGACACCCAGGGAGCAGCCTCCTGGTGTCAAGGGGCTGCTCAGCTAATGAGCTAATGTTTATAAAGTGCTTTGAAGATGAAAAATTCCATGCGAGGGCCGAGGGTTTGTGTTGTTATTTGGGGGAGAGGTTGAGGAAGGAGGATGGGGCGGAGGGAAGGGGCAAAATATTGCTGAGAAACAGCCCGGAGCCCCTTGGGCTGTGCAGGCAGGCTGGCTTTGCTCGGCTATGGTGCAGGCGCCTGTCTAGGCAGAAGCCACAGCTGCCCCTTTGTTCAGAGCAGGGCAAATCTGAACTGGCCGCACTGCTTTGATTTAGTTTTTTCTCGTAGCAGGGGGTGGGGTTGATGAGACTTAAGTGGTCCCTGCCCTCAAGACCCAGCCCTTTTAGGCTGGGACAGTGAACCAAGTCGTCAAAATAGCCCCTTGCCCAGCTGGCGCACAGTCAGCAAGTAGCTCCTGTCAATCATTCGTTGCTCATTCATTCATTCAGCAATCACTTTTACCTGTGCCAGGCACTAGCCATGGAATGAAAGACAGAGCAGACAGCCCCTGCCCTCTTAGAGCTTACGTCCTGGAGGGGAAGATGACATCTAACAGAGCCGGATGTCAACTGCCCTGCAGTTATGAGTGTGAAAGGGCAGAGGAGGAGAGACGTGGAAAGTCACGGGTGTGGGAACCAGACCTGTCCCAGCCCAAATACAGGAGTACCAAGAAGGCTTTCCTAGGAGGGGTGGCTCAAAGAAAGAGTGGACATTTCCAGTTCCCAAGCAAAGTGGGAGAGAGAGAGAGTATGTCAGGCAGGGCAGCAGCGTTAATTAACAGATTGCTGAATTAATCCAACAAACCCTTAGTGAATGCCTACTATGTACCGTGCACTGGGGATACAGGGGCGAGTAATACAGGTGTAAATCCTGACAACCCGCCTCTCACAAAGCTCCCATTCTGTATAATAAGCAAATGAAGAAATAAGTTGAAAGAGAAACGATCAGCTAGCAATAAGGAATGGTGGTAAAA